CAAAATTTGAGTTGCTAAACTCGGGGTGCGGCTTATCTGCGAGTCTTTACGGTACCTGTGAGGTCACCATGTGACCGCTGACCTATGATGGCTCCGATGACCCAAGGTCACCACGTGATAGTACACGTGATTTACGAAGAAGTGGCGGTTTTTTTGTACCTCGAGAGGTACTTTCGGTACTAGTGTTTGCATAGCAGTCCCTTTTTTTCCAGATCAACTTAACAGACTGTCTGAAAAGTTTATTCAAAGAAGTTTCCTCAAGATGAATATGTCGATGTATTACAACATGAAGGGGTAAGTTCAAGCTTGGTCATCTCACTACGCGTAGACATCGGAGCGTGCGAACTGAATATTGATTTTACTTGAAAATTTTAGACTTTATTCTATGGCTCCCTTTTTGAACTATGCTACTACAAAAAAGGATATGTAAAGCAAGTGTCATGGTGTTCTCCAATAGGGTTATTAAATCACTTGGCCAAAAGAATGCAAATTGATAATGCTTTTGTTCAAGTCTCATCACATGCGACCCAAGCTCCAGGTGTGAGATGATCATCTGGCGAAATATTACAAGAGTTTGTATGGAAATATTTACGACCGCTCTTAGGAATAAAAAATACAGTCAAATTCTGAATAAGAAATACCTCACCTTGCTTCCACAGTGCATTGCTTGCTGTCTGACCACTTACCATGTTGAAAAGAACCTGTTTTGGCGAGTTATCCATTTCTAGGTTTACTATGTATATAAGAAAGGCCCTTAGATAACTGATGATGTGCTCCCTTTATTTTGCAAACAGTGAAGAAGTGTTTGTCTATAAAACTGTTGAAAGGAAATGTAAAGTTGCTAAAGCAGCCTATCTTGATCCAAATGATGATGAAGATGCAAGTAGTAATGATAACCAAAAAAGGATAGCACATTCAGGTGGCCAAAACAGAGAGACACTGACATAGTCAGCCATAGATATATCTTCTCACATGCAAGAGTGCAGAAAGTTGGTAATTGTTTTGTTGTTAGTTACCTTGAGAGTAATGATTGCAAGTGTAAAACATAACAAGAAATTTACATGAATGCCATTACATAAATAGACATTATAATAACTGTCCATAACATTTTACACATGATATTAAACAAAGGAAATGGTATTTGAAGTTTAGACAGAAATACATTAAACCAGTGGGTATATTTTCAATAATTTAGTCCAAATATTTTTCACATCAAATTTATTTATGATATACCTTCAAAATAGTTTTAATATACAGAGATATTTCTAATGTACAGCCCCAATTATTTAAATCAGAGTAAACAGATATTAAGAAATATAGGAGCAAAATCTGTCTCCACAAGGAAAATCAGTGATATAAAAATAGAGCTAAAAATCATTAACATCTTAATTTTATTGCAGAAAATTGCATACCAACTTTTTTGATTTAAGAAAGTGTACACTGGATTATCACAATTTTGGAATCCAAAAATAATATTTATGAACAGCTGGTGAAACAAATTAAATTATCAGAGAATTCAGATTTCTGGTCATGTCTTTCATATGTGTGTGCTCGTACAACAGTACCAAGAAGTTTCACAGAGAGGTTAGCTCTTCAATGGATTATTTAAGTGATTGTGTATGTATTACAGTTATGGTATATTGCAAGCTATACGTTGTAGTACAGTCTTTGGTACAAGAAAAGTGAAGATTTTTCATTCCAAATTCATGGGGTTTCCAAAGA